TCAATTCAAAAATCACATGTAAAAATAATTTACATGAGAATTTTCATACATGTGTATATATATATATATACATGCACGTTTATTCCTGCACAACATCCTGGGAATGGCTCGTATCGGCCTTGTTTCATTCTTAGTTTGAAAATTGTTCTTTTTTTAACTAACCGAGATCGCAAATCTTACACTATACCCCGAACAGCAAACTTTACTTTCAATCTCGAATCACCAATCAAACTCTAATGTACTCCAAAAACTTCTTGATAAAATTTGATTACACCTCAAATTTTTATATAAGGGAGGAGATGTAACCATTGTCTAGTTTAGTCTAGTTGCTACGCGTAGAGTCTAGAACTTTCCATATTTATTTTAAGTACCATAAAAACCGACAGTTAACGATAAAAAAAACCACGTCGACCTTTCAAAATACCTTACCATATAGGGTAATCTTTTGACACAGGAAATGCTTGTCTTAGTACGCAGCCGAATCTAGAACATACTAGATTATTCTCGAATATTCGAGAATGCTCTAGAACAGTACTAAATAAGGAAAACTCTAGAACTTTCCGTGGCCGTGAACTCAGGCCCTATAAAACGCGCCCTCGAACCGAGGCGCCGGCAGTCAGGATCAAGCAGTCAGCGCTGCCAGATTGTATAGTTGGATATGAAAATTGTATAATTTCACTAGCATTCGTATCTTATTTGTATAATGAAACATTTTGTATAATATTATTCGTACTCAAAGTTCCATAGAATACAATGCAGGTCTATATTTATCAGTCAGACACTTTAAAGAATAGAACCTGGAATCTGGAGATCGGCCATCTCATTGTAGTTTTGTACAATGATCTGGACCGCTGATTTCAGCGCCAACATTCACAGACTCTGTTCGGTTATTACTGGCAGTACTGAAAAATCTATAGTATACGTGACATGAATCTATAAATTTTCAGTACTGCCAGTAAAAAACGAACGCAGCCACAAAAGTACATGTAATGTCCGTTCTACTTTAGAACGCAACTCACACAAGATGAGAACGCAAATCGCAGATCTCGTGAAGTTGACTAATTACATGGTCAAATTAGCCAATTGACTAACATGATTGGTCAATTCCACGAGATCTGTTACTTTTGTTTGCATCTTGCGCTTAATAGAGCGGGCATTACATCCACTTTTGTGGATATTGGCGCTGGAATCAACGGCCAAAATTGTCGTAAGAAATTACAATGGGATGGCCGCTCTCAGGTTTCTCTCTGCTGGAACGAAAAGTAATACATCATTTTGTGGCGTATATAGAATGGCATATGGACTAGCTCTAACCGATTTTCAGTTAAAAACTTCATTTGGACGAGAAAAATTTCAACTAAAACTAGTGATTTTACTGCTTTTAGTATTACCATTTTCAAATGCTTCCGTTGAATAAATATTTAGCAATTTAAAAAGATTGAAAACCCGTGATTGAAACACTTAACACAAAAACTATAGTAGCTCTTATGTCGACCAGTACAGGGATAAAAAAGAAAAATGGCTGTGTATCATTTGAACCTATCAAAGAAATGCTAAATATAAAAATTAATTATAAAAGTTAGAATTAAATAAAAGATTTTAAACTTTATGGTTATAGATGTGATAATAATTTGTTATATATGTATTTAATTTTGGTTTAGCATTTTATATGTGGCTCTGGACATCGAGCTGTCTTATTACCTACGCGCGTAAGACAGCCTGATGCACGCTTATTCGCGGATCTTTGTTAATTAAGATCTCGGTAACTATTACAATTCTATCAAAATGGTATAGGACTTTTTGATTCAATTTTACTCCTTCTATTTGTTCACGAGAGATGTTACACCAATTCTGGAACACCTTGTATATGTATATATATGTATGTATGTTTCCAAATATTACTTTATTAATACTATATGCTATGTAAATCGTTTAATTTAAGTTGTAAAAAGTTTTTAGGAACCAAACTATATATTTAAATTAGTAAAATAATAAGTACTTTTTCAAAAAAACTATCTTAAAGTGTTTGTTGGAGTTCAACGATCGTTTTTTATAATCATAGGAAATGTTGAATAATTTCAGATATTTCGATGTATACTAGTGGAAAAGTTACTGGCAGCGCTGCAGACAGTCAGAATCAAACAGTCAGCTACAGTCAATCAGTTATTATCACTTAGTTATTAGCAGTGAAATGTGTATTATAATCACAGTCGCGCAGTTATTTTAAAACAATTAATGTAATATCGTCACAAGAAAACTGTACAAAATATAAGTGAATAAATAATTTTTTAATAATCATCGTGACGATTCTTACACTGTCTCGTTGTCATCATTATTAAACCGGCTTAGTAATAAAAGATAACAATTAATTTGCTTGTACGTACTATTCAACGGTAGCTGATCGCTCATGCAGCTTTCCACATTTGTGCATATCTCTTTTATTACAGTATACCGCGTAACTTTTTGACCTCATTGCTTCTAAGCAAAAGATTAAAAGACAGAAAGACAGAAAGAAAGAAAAAAAGAAAGAGACAGAGAGAAAGAGAAATTAAGAGAAAAAATATGTTTATTTCAAAAAACATGCATTACCTCCACGACATTCTGTTATCGTGGCGCTGATGATATCCAGCTCTTCTATATATACACGAATTTTTTCTATATCTGCTATTTTTTTCCATATAACTTCTTTCACGATCATTACTACATTTGCGATAATTTGATCCTCTATTTTTATCAAAAGTAGAACGGGAAGAAGATCTGTAATAATATGAATGGATATATTTTTGCAACAAATTTAAAAAGGTTACAAGCATTTTTGTAATTTTGTTTTATATTGCTCTAATAGCATAGCAATGTATAAAAAAAATTATAAATAGCAACTAAAAAACTAGCTTAGCTCATACAATTATTACGATTTTATGTTAAGATAGATCGTTATCATACTCGGATCTTTTTATAAATTTTATTGTTGTTTCTTTCACCAACTTTTTCCACAATAATTGCAATTTTTTCAGTGTAATCCCTTACGAAAAAGAACTATTGCCGATTACATATAAATAAAGTCAGTAATATAAGTATTACTGACAATCACATAAGAATATTATTAGATATTACAGGAATCACTGAGAATATTACTGGCAATTACACAGAATGCCAGTAATTTTTTCGTACCACTGCCGCAATATATTACCGCCAGTAATTCTTTTTCGTAAGGGAATACTATATATATAATTATTATATTTATATATTATAATTTATATATTATACTAATGTATTATATCAATTTAGTCATATATTATAACAATAGATATATCAATATATATTGTTTTAAAATCTTCGAATTAAAAAAGAATTGTACCCGAACATCTGGTGTTAGCTTGTTGCCATTTCCTTATCTCTTTTTATTTAAATATATATTGTTTTTTGCTTACCTTGAACGACTGTAATAACGTAGATAAGATCTCGATCTAGATCGGAATGATCTAGAACGTGAACGTGAATGCCTTGATCTAGATGTAAACGAGTGTGACGATCTACTGTTGCTCGTCGAGCTGACGACGGAGCTACGTCTACGGCTTAATTTTCTTCTTCTGCGATATCGACTATTTGAGAAGCTCCTGCTTCTAGTTCCGCTCCTACTACTTCTATTCTTGCTCCTACTACTCCTGCTGCTACTCCTGCTTCTAGTACTTTTGCTGCTACTCCTGCTTCTAGTACTTTTGCTGCTACTTCTGCTATTATTACTGCTACTACTCCTGCTGCTACTTCTGCTTCTAGTTGCACTCCTAATCTTACTTCTTTTTATATTATTTCTGCTTTTGTCTTTTGACTTGTATCTACTTAAGCTTCTGGAACGCCTAATGGTTTCTTCCAATATTTCTATGCTTTTTTCTCGATTGCAATCATTTTTACTATCGTGTGTGTTTTCTTTTCTATAAGATATTACGCATTTAATATAATAAGTACAGAATGCAAAAGTTTATAAATTTTATAGTAAAATTTCTCATAAAATGTCATAATAAAACCCACATTAAAGAGGACCAGTCTTTTTGCGTTAATCGTAAGTTATTGTTGAATACACATATCATCACTTAACATAAAATTTCGAGTTTATTTCCGTTGTTAAGATAACTGGTCCGCTTTAATTAAAAGATATTCAATGTACTCACAATCAGAGTAAGAAATAAGTTAAGCCAGTACTTTTTTGCTTGCTGGATTGCTTGCGTGCTTTTTTGCTGACAAACCAAAAGCCTTAGATTATTATATAACTTAAGATTATATCCTGACTCTCGCAGTGAAGTAGCACAGAACTACACAAAAAATAGCACGAAAATCCAGCAGAGCAGCCAGTATGCAAGCAATCCAGCAAGCAAACATATCGTAGTTTTATTAGCACGCTGATTTTATACATAAACATATATGTGCGTTCATACACGCATATGCATATGCATATCTTACCTTTCTTCTTTTTTGTCTTTTGTGTCATTTACTGCTTTTGTAGAAAGTTCAAAAAGTGTTTCATATGTCTGTACTTTCTTTTCGCAAGTAATTGGCTTTAATTCACTTTGTTTTAATTCTGATATATTTTTTGTAACTGAAAGTATTATTCTTTCTGACCAAATTGGATTAAGCGGATCAATAGGATTGTCAATTGGTTCTGTTGTAGTATAAGCATGATAGACATCTATTAATATTGTGCGCTGTGAAGAATCTATTTTACCATCATCACCTCGTCTATTTCGATATTCAGATAAATTCAATTTTTTACGAGGTTTTGTCGCTTGCTCTTGTGCATGTTCAACATTTGGTTTATTTACATTTTGAATTAATTTACATTCACTAGTCGCTATATTTGTGTTAGAGTGAGATAAAACTGCTGGAATTGTGTCCGGCAGTTTTTTTAGTACAGAAATCATAGCTGGCTGTGTATTTCCATGTAAATGAGAATTATATGCTTCAGCTCGATCTTTTTTTATCTTTGCCAAAGCTGATGTAATCTTATCTATATTATTAATAGATATGTTGTTTACTGCACCAGATTCTTTTGTCGTTTTAGAACACTGCTTTTTTTTGGACAAATTATCTGTTGCTTGAATATGATTGAATAAAGTTAATACTGGTTTCTTGTTCGTACTAGATATATTAGATTTCAGATTACTATCAGTTTTTGAACTGCTCTTATGAAAACATTCCATGGTACTACATAATACCTTTTGATACTTTGACTTCAATAGAGATACTTGTTTTGTAGATTCTGTAGAAAATATATATCGACAAATGTTATTGTTTTTACAATTAAAATTTTTCTTTTTAAGATTACATTTGTTGTTAATTTACCGGCATTAGAATTTCTCGCAGCATAGCCAGCGTAATTGTGATCTGACAAGACATTTGATGCTGATACAGAAACATCGTAAATCTTAAAAAAAAAGTAAAGTACAAATTACTGGATTTATTTATGTAAAAATATTGAAAAAAAGTTTGAAATGAATAGTCAATATTTAAGTTTTATACATTCTTTATATATATACATATACAAAATATGGTAAATATTGACAATAACGGACCACCTTCCGATCAACTTGAGCTTCACATATGTTGTCAAGGACATTGTCCTGAGTGACATGCAAAAGATTTTAGCCGTCGCTCATTGTTTATAAAAAAGTTACAAACAAAAAAAGTAATCATAAATAAATTTTTTTTAACATTATGGACATTTTCTTCACGTTGTAAGCGTGTAGGCAGGGGGGCTACGCCCCTCCCCTGCACTTCCCTGAGCTTATCATGTTTTGCATGCATATTACCTTCTGTTTATGATGTTTTATTTTTGAATATTACATATATATAACCTTGCATAAAATAATTCTTTATTTTTTTTCGAGAGAGGAGCAGGGGGAGAGGCGTAGCCCCCCCCTGCCTACACACTTACAACATGAAGAAAATATACATAATGTCAAAAAAAAAATTTATTTATGAAACTTTTTTTGTTTGTAACTTTTTTATAAACAATGAGCGACGGCTAAAATCTTTTGCATGTCACTCAGGACAATGTCCTTGACAATATATGTGAAGCTCAAATAGATCGGAGGTTGACCTGTTATTATCAATAATAATAACTTTTTAATAAACAACGAGCGACGGCTAAAATTTTTTGCATGTCACTCAGGACAATATCCTTGATAACATATGTGAAGCTCAAGTTGATCGGAAGGTGGTCCGTTATTGTCAATATTTACCCAAAATATATAAAAAAAGATCGGGATCCCGGAATATTTGGAAAGGATTGAGTTTTTGAAAACAAACGTTTTATATGTTTCATATAAAAGTTGTAGAGATTTAAGTGGCATCTGATATTTGATACTTTCGCGATATGTTGTATCAACATTCAAAAATATTTTTCGGGTTTGAATCACGTTAGTGATTTTTACACCGACGTTTCGTGAACATTTCAGCTCACTTCATCAAGGTTTCAAGACCAGTTTGATACTGAGAATAGATGTCTCTTTTTAAAGACAGGTGTCCCTTTTATATTTAAATGGCATGTTAGATAACAAATGTTAAACAGCATTGTTAAGATCATAAAAACTTAAAAATTTTTTAGTGAAAATCTATTTTTCACATATTCTTGAAGCTGATTTCAAGAGCTTTTAAAAACAAAGTTATTTTTTATTAAATACTTTTCGAGTGAGAAAATGTATTTATGAGATCTGAAAGTCAACTTGCAGCATAGGCGCGCGTGCAGTCAGATACCCTCGCGTGTTATAAGAAAAAATAGCAACGGCTGAACTCAGTTACAGGAACGTGCAACTAAACTTAAAGATTTTTATTAAAAAATTTTAAAATAATTTTTGTGATCCTAACAATGCTGTCCAAAGTCATACTAATATTGCAACGTAACGCTAGTTAAAACCTTACAATTTTTATATAGAACTTTTTTTCCAAAAACTCCATTTTTTCTATTTATTCCAAGGTTTCGACTTTTTTTATACATCCTATATATATATATATTATAGTTAGAAAATTTACCATGGGATTCATTTTCATATCTGCAGAAGTTCCAGCTTCAGTTTTTGTTATATCACTATTTTCATGATTTCTCTGTGACACAGATGATGTTACCGACATAGTTTTAATAGATGATGGTATAGATGTATAGACTGTTTTAGTAGAAATTTTTCTTGTATTTCCTAATGCCTAAAATTAAAAAATACAATAACGTTATACAGTTTATTGTTGCACATCATCTTAATACATAAATTAATAAAATTTAAAATTTAATGTTTTTTTAATCTTAATACTTTCTTTTACCGTTTCTTTGTTTAAAATTGCGCCTTTTTTCTTTTGGAGGTTTTTGTGATTATACACAGTTTGTAAAATTGATGCATTTTTCATATTGTTTTTATCTGCAGCATGTTTAATCTGTGATAGTTTGGTTGATTTTGCAATAGATATAGACTTACGTTTACCCACACATTTGTTGAACAATTCAAATTGTTCTAACAAACTGTTTTCATCATCAGCTTTCAATACTAGTGTAAAAAATAAACATTAGGATATAATCTCTACTCATATACATATGTGTACTTTTTAATTTGTTTATATTACTCTAAATCATTAAAGTGTAATGTTAGGAACCAAAATTTACAAACATAAGAAACGCTTCAGTGAGTAAATCTCTTGCCATTTTTGCAGAAAGCAAAAACTTAATTAAGCGCAAAGTTTTCTATGTTACTTTTCTATGGTTATTATTTGAAGATCATGTTATCATTCATTGTAACTTCTGCCACAACATTGCATTAACAAAAATATGTAGTTCCATTTAAGGTTGTATTCAGGGTAAGATAAAAGATATGCCAGATTATTCGAAATTTGCCAGTCAGTAGATAATATTAAAAAAAGAAATTATGCAAAATTTCAGCTTCTTTGCGAGCCTTGTTAAAAAGTTAGTACGATTTTAATTTAACACGAGTTCTTATGGGATTTCACGATATTCTGATATAAATTACAAAATAAACTGTAGATGTAGATATGCCATAATTTTGAAACTTTTTGCAGTTGTTAATAAATATCTTAAAAACAAATTCCACTTGAAAAAATACTCATTTCGAGAATATCACATAAAATATAAATTTATATTTTGTTACAATTAATAAAAATATATATTTAATATACATAAAACAATTATATTTGTAATTTTATACATCATTTGTTACGTTTTAATAACCTTTTATGATTAATATATTTCCAGTTTTTCATTTATCTTACATTGCACGTAGGGTATAATTCTACTCAAAAATATCAAAAGTGAACATCAAAAGGGGACAAAATATACGTAAAAACTTTTCCGTAGTTATTAAAAGTATAATAAATAGTTTTTGTAACTTATTTTAGTACAAATAATACTATTCCAGCAAACAATTATTATCTAAATATTAAAATAGGTTCGGTTTACGCTATGTTTCTTAAACTTTTGACTGAGATCTTACCCTGAATACAACCTTAAAACAAATCAGTGACCTTGACATCTCGCAAAATATTGCCTCTAGAGAAACTGATCAGCAATAATAATATTTGTCTCTATATACGTCTTAATTAAAAAAAAATAAAAAAAAATAAAAAAAATAAAAAAAAATGAAAAAAAAAGAGAGAGAGAGAGAGAGAAAAAAACAGAAAAGCCAATTTACAGAAAACGATAATTTTTGTGCTCATAAAATCACGTTGACGGTTGAAAGACACGTAAATAATATCAACATAAGAAATTATTTCGAGACACAAATCCTAATATAAATATTTAGATTTTCATAGGTTTTTGAGTCATAAACGTTTAAAAATAGTATAAACTAGAAGATAGCAGTTTGTGCAATCAAGTACAATGCACTATGTAACAGTGACACAATGTTCTTACTACTTTGAACACTACTTAATATTTAGATAATTGTGCAAGTTATATTATTAAAAAAAATTAAATTATATTTAAATACATATACTGAAATTAATAATGCATGTGGAAATAATAATTTTATAAAAATTCTTGCAGAAGTAAGCACAATTGACAAAATGTCTTTAAAAAGTATGTCATATGAAATTAACACATAATATTAATAGCAAAACAGTAATAGTATGCACTAGATTCATATAATTTTAATAATTTATTATATTTCATATTCTGCAAAAATTTGCTAAAATTGTTGTATTATATACTAGTAATTATATGTATGTCATTGTATATTTAAATATAATTTAACGAGAGAGAGAGAGAGAGAGAGAAAGAGAATAATCAATAAAATATACCTTTACTGTAATTTTCTTAAATATTAAGTAGATACCAAAATTTAGTCTCAACATTTTAAAATTCTTAAAATTTTAGTATTAGAATTTCTACTTCAAAATTATGTGTGTTTAGTCATGCAGAAACATCTTATGTGTGTGTATTATGTATATGCAAATTAATTACTTATTAACTTATTTACCAGGAAGTTCTTTATCCTCTTCTTGCTTAACTTGTATAATTATATTTTCTTTCTTTTGGCTTTCATTTTCTTTTGATTTCATAATTTGTTTAATTTGTGCTCCTTTTTCTTTATCTTTTATTTGAAATGACAGACTAACTGAATTATTAATTTTTGGCTTTTTTGTAGTAATTTGTGTTATTTCAGATAAATCTTCTTTCTTAACAAAAGCTATAAAAATTGTTTTTAATAGATAGGACATTAAAAAAAAAATTAATTTAATATTTTTACAAACCTGTTATTTTCTTCTTTTCTTTTAGCTGGGATAGAGAGTGTTTGTTTTGTGTCTCTTTCTTATAGTTATTACATATTGATGTATCATTTTCTATAAAAAATGTTGTTGGTGCTAATGTCAATGGTATATCAATAGTCTTTGTATCTCTCCAATCATTCCACCAAGTAGAATGCAACGACTAAATGTTAGAAATAAAGAAGCTTTATTTATTAGAATCTATTGATAGATTAATCAGCTTGTCACAATTTTCCTATTACTAAAGTTTTATGAAATATTGTTATTAAAAATATTATGAAAATTGTTATTTAAAAATAGAAAGGCAATTAAGAGTACAAAAGTAGAAATAATAAAAGAAAAAAAATTACTTTCTTAAGTATCCAGTATTATACTTTTAATTTCTATTAATTGCAAGCAAAAGTACTGATAATCTATATAATAGATTCATACAAACATACACACATATATACACATGCACACTCACACATATATATGGTTCATTATATATACCTCAGGAAGTGTATCATCTAGCTCATATGGAAGTATATCTCCTAGTTCAGGAAAAAGCTTAGGAAAAAATAGTTCATTTTGATGAGATGAAAATTCCTGACAGAGTTTATTGGGTGCTAGTTCCATAATACAATCCCAGATAGAAATACTTTCCAAGATCTATAATAATAAAAGAACAAACTTAATCAACATGTTAATTGAAAATTATTAACAAAGTATCAAGAAATTTGAACACTCAGCAGAATAAGCCATGTGGTTGTTTTCAGGTTATGTTCGCAAAGCGGTATGGAACACGAACACGTGTACTGTTCGCGAAAGCACATTCAACGCCTGCCGTTTTTACACATATGAACCGACTAGATATGTGATATACGCACATAGTTTGCACTAAAAATGTTGTACTAACATACTGTACTACAGAATACTGCACTGACTATATTACATCAGATCTTAAACCAGATGTGGGATATGTAGATGCAATGATTATCCGCACAATTATCGTTATTCTTTTCACATAAAAAACTTTTCATACTCACATTTATAGTCACATTTACTAATTTATACAATCTGATGTCAGAAACACGTTATAATCACGAATAAATGGATAAACGCAAATATATATTTGTAAAATACTATACGACCACGTGGATTCTTTTTCAAGGCACGCGCATGGAAGAAAAGCGTCTGCCATGTTGCATAAGGTCTGTTCTACAATAAAGGCCATTAAAGGGTCGTCTATAATAAGAGTAGGCAGTATAGAGTAAAGCCTGTTCTACAATAAGAGCCGTCTACAATGGAGAGTTGTAGGCCGTAACAGTAAGAAATTGACAAATCACAATCGATTATTCTTCTGTACTTTGTCTATGATTGGTCAATTTCTTACTATTACGGCCTACAACTCTCCATTGAAGACGGCTCTTATTAACAGAAGAATAATCGATTGTGATTTGTCAATTTCTTACTGTTACGGCCTACAACTCTCCATTGTAGACGGCTCTTTACAATGGAAAGTTGTAGGCCGTAATAGTAAGAAATTGACCAATCACAGACAAAGTACAGAAGAATAATCGATTGTGATTTGTCAATTTCTTACTGTTACGACCTACAACTCTCCATTGTAGACGACCCTATACAGTCCTAAGCCGTAAGTCGTAAGAAATTGACCAATCACAATCGATTATTCTTCTGCAATTGATCTGTGATTGGTCAATTTCTTACGACTTACAGCTTACGACAGTATTGTAGAACAGGCCTACGGCCTGGTTTATACGGGCAATAACTGTTAACTTATGCCGGAACTGGTAGAGTTTAACTATAGAATTTCAATACTTCTGTTTATACGCATTCGGCAATTTTGGCTGCTTTCTTTTTAGGAGACACAGTCGACACATTCGACACAAAGCGTCACATGTCGCTTTCCATTTGTAATTGTGATCGACCTTAAGGCCTGGTTTATACAAGCAATAACTGTTAACTTATGCCGGAACCGGTAGAGTTTAACTATAGAATTTCAATACTTCTGTTTATACGCATTTGGCAATTTTGTATAAACAGAAGCATTGAAATCCTATAGTTAAACTCTACCGGTTCCGGCATAAGTTAACATCTTCTTCTTCTTCTTTGCTAATATGGCGCCGACCCCCGAGGGGTTTAGGTAATGGCAGCCGTGGCTAGTCGCGTATCTTCGCAATGAGAGGCACGAGGCCCGAGAAAGGGAGACGCACGAAGTCCAAATATGGGCATAGATGGTCGAGCGTCATTATGCGCAGGCGCATCTACCAAGTGAGTGCGAGCGAGACAAAGCATTAGAAAGTAAGAGAAAGAACGCGAGAAAAAGAAATGCGCAAGCGTGCTTGAATGTTCACCGCATGCGCACAAAGCAGCTGGAGAGAGAGGCTACTATATTGGCTGCTTTCCTTTTAGGAGACACAGTCGACACAAGTCGACACAAGAGTCATTCTGTCTTTGTTCAGTATTCAGTGAGAAACAAAGACAGAATGACTTTTGTGTCGACTTGTGTCAACTCCTAAAAGGAAAGCACCCATTGTCTGCACCGTAACCATATATATAATACTCCTATATTGCTAGTCGCGTATCTTCGCAATGAGAGGCACGAGGCCCGAGAAAGGGAGACGCACGAAGTCCAAATATGGGCATAGATAGTCGAGCGTCATTATGCGCAGGCGCGTCTACTAAGCGAGTGCGAGCGAGATAAAGCATTGGAAAGAACGCGAGAAAGAGAAATGCTCAAACGTGCTTGAATGTTCACCGCATGCGCACAAAGCAGCTAGAGAGAGAGGCTACTATGGGTGTTTACGATAACTCAAGTTCGAGTTAGTTTTACTAGGACCGAAAATTTTGTAGACATGACCATCTGTAATCCGCATGATTCATGACAACTTAACTCAGCGCTGTCTTGTATCGCTTGAGTTGAGTTAACTGTGGTTAGCTGGTACACAGCGCGTCAAAAATTCGCGAAGTAGGCGCGGACATCTAAGGACAAAAAGAGCGGTTTTTCTTAGAGATAAATACCGCGACACAGTTGTGGATAAACGATTGCTACTAGTTAGCTGGTACAGTGCTCGTTGGTGCTATTTATTCCTAAGAGAAACCGCTTCTTTTGCCTCTAGACCCTCGCGTCTACTCCGCGAATTTTTGACGCGTTGTGTAC